TAAGTGGCAGCAGCCAGTTCGCTAGCTACTGGGGTAGATTGAGCTAGTTATCTACGTTCCTCTCTATTGGGCCTTTATAGATCGCCGAATATAGAAACATTTAGAATTACTGCATGTTCAGTGTTCTGGAATGTTTGGCGCATTTCATGTTCCTTAATGTTTCGCTTAAAGCTATACCCGAACGTCGCCAGTTTCCATTAGTCTATTTCCTATATGACATTACACGAGCTACGTTAATTCCATTCCCATTCCATTTCCCTGAACATTACTTTCAGCGAAGACTGCGACAAGTGGTTTTATCAATCGATAAGCAAGATTACATGGTTTTCAGCGTTTTCTGAAAATAATCAAGTCCGGGTACCGTAATAATTTGTACATAAACGTGATTGTTTAATTTATGTCGGTTAATAGGACTGCATAATGAGATCTTGCTTTCTTTTATTTTTAGTTTAAGATTAATTCGGACGGCGTGCGGCGGGAGGAGTGGTGAATGTGCACCGACTCAACCGGCGGGAGGTAAATACGGGGGGGTTTTAGTGGGGTAGGCCCTCCAGTCTGGAGGAAGAGTCCCTACATAACCCGTGTGTCTCCCTAGACTCAGGGGTATCTATAAAGATTTAAGAAGTAAAAAAAAATGTGCCAGGAGGTGAATGTGGCCAGTTGAGTAGGACTCGTTAATTTTGCAGATTTTGTGTTCGGCGAACTACCTGGTCTGGTATCTGGATTTCTTAATAGGAAGACATCGAATATAAGTTTGCATTGATATTTTTTGTCGTTTCTATTGTATAGAATACAGTTTTGAAGACTTTGTACAGTACAAAACCATCATTGTAACGACGTATTATCTAAGCTCATTTACATAATAATACCTACTAGTTGTTGTATTGTTAACAGCCCATAAAATAAGACAGTGTCGGAAACGCAAACGACCACGCTTCGTCCGAGCGGGGAATTGCGGGGCGGGGAGATCGGCGCGGGCGCAGGAGGTGGTGATCATAATCTATCGTCTCGCATTGAGGAGCACAATAAGTAGCTGACTTCCTCTCCCACGTTCTGAGCAACGGATGCCTCGTCTCGCGACCTCCGGCGCGGGTCTTAAGCCCCTCGCTGCTGCTGATTCCATTACATAAAACTAAAGTAATTTAAGCCAATTGGTTTCATGCAATCCCACCAATTTTAACATTATGGCCTTAAAGTCATTAAACTACCAACTACAAGACGTGTCTCTATTGCAGACTGATATGGATACACTACTGGAGTGGTCCCTAGAAATAATACGAGTCTATTAATATTTAGGCATGTCTTCAAAAGTTGCACATTAAATTTCTGAAAAAACTAAATGTTCCATCTTTTGGATATAAAATTAATGGGACAACTACAGATCAGGAGTTTGATAGTATCAAAAATGTGTGTATTGTATACCTCACGTTATCGAGAGGTCCTATAAAGCCAGTGCTTTATAGGATTTATAAACTCAGTAGTTTTGTGTATAAAGCAAGAAAAGGTTTTTTGCTCTTCTGCTACAAAAATACTGCCCTATAATAGCCTGACTCGCAGTGTTTTGGGATTTGGATCCCTATGACGCGAACCACATGCCGAGGCTTGAACGTATGTAAAAAGGTACTGGCATTTACTGTACCTAGTGGGGTTAGCCAAAAAGTTGCTGTTTTATTCTGACAGGCTTTTGCATTTCAAAACGCTTTTGGTGGCAAAGAGAAGGATCCTACTTTATCTATTACTTAGTTTTACATATATGATTGAATTTAACATCTTTGTATAAAAGTCTACAATTGCTTGGTAAATGTAACTTCAGAATTCCCTCCACATACCCAAGGTAGGCCACCACACACTGACCACAGTCACACTGGGGTGACATATTAGATACTCATTTTAGAGATTTATGTATTTTTTTGGGTTAGCTACATTTTTTCATTCTCTACTCTTTTCGTCGTTTTTGTAAGTCGTTTCCTGTCGTTTTTTGTATCACTTATAAGGTAGTTGTGTAATTATAAGATCACAACCACATTTATTTAGTGTATGTATTAGTTTATTATAATAGTCATTGCCCATTACGTTCTTCTTTATATTGTTATAGCTCCATTGATCCCATCGATGATTCCGCCAATGGTCGAGTTACGGAACACACGTATTTTAACTCAAAATTTGACTGGCTATTACAGAAACAAATAGTTAATTTTAATAAATTTACATGGGACACACATAAAGGGAGCAGACTAATGTTAGGAAAAAGTTGATATTGACGGTATGTGGGAATATAAAAAGGAAAATAATTATAACTTTTTTTATAACAAAAAAAACCTACTGAAAGTTCGTGGAACGTCGCCATCTACTTGCCAAGTTTTGTTGACATCAGTTACCGGAAAGTGCGTGAAACCGGATTCATCCACACGTTTGTCACCCTTACAGGTGGAATATTTTCTTCAAATTTAAATGGAATCAATGGGAGAGTACCTCAGTCCCTCTTTTCAACAAAAAAGAATCACCATAAATGTCAAATGCTGGAGTAATCGCGTAACATACACAAAAATAAATACAGTTGAATTGAAAACCTCCTTCTCTTTTGAAGTCTGTTAAAAATTGAGCCACATACAGAATAGATAAGCACTGGATACTTATTATAATCACATTTGTGAAGGCACCCAAATGGCAGATTCTTTTAAAAGATTCAAGTTGCAATACATACTTAGTACTTGGTGTAACGGGCTGGTGTCCGCAACTCGACGACAAGGCGCCTATTTTGCGTGTGGGACACGCTGTATATCTAGCATAGATGAATGAATATTAATAAAAAATAAAGTTTCATTCTAATATAAAAATTATATGACGTGTATTTAGGTATAATCATAAAAACAAAAAAAAACCTTGAAATCAGTCTGCAATCAGTCAACTAAACTTGAAGCAGGTGACTAGAAGAATGTAGTGTGTCATGGAATATTAGGATGCTATCTCCCTTAATCATTTTTTAAAGATTTCTATACAAAAAGAGAAAGCCTTACATTAAAATATACATTCAATGTTAAATGTTGTAACCTTTGTGTGAAACTGGAATTCCGTACTAGGCAACTATACATGTATTATAGTCCACTGGGAATTCATCATTTCATTTAAGCGGCAGACTGGCACTCTTGAGTTGCTGTTGACATTCACAGGTAGTAGTAGATATTGTGCCTCTGAGCTCTTTTGAAGTACCATCACAATTGTATCCAGTAGATCCAGATCTTAGCAACACTTTCAGCTTGTAGCTGATTCTCTATTGTGAAGTAAAAAAAGTTTACACATAACTATGTGCTCTGATTGTTTTTCTGTATGGAATTTATGAAATCATTACAACAGTCATAACAGATTAGGTAACAAACTCAATGTACTAGATATGGGAATATGTCATAATGCATTTTGATACAACAAACAAACACAAAGTATGTTTTGTATTTGTTTGTTGTGGATGCAGGCATTATGACATAGTCTGAATAAGATTGTAAGTCGATAAGAGATATGAATGAGTATAATCAATGAGTGTAAATCATAAGATAAAAAAATACAGTACAACCACAAAATGAGCTTCTTCTTCTTTTAAATGTTATGGCTCCATCGAAATAATTAATGATTTTGCCAATGTCAAGTAAAAATAACTATGTACGGTAGTTTAATATTATTATAAAAATTATAAAAAAAAAAAATGGCGATTGCACCAATGTCCTGTGAGTATTTCTTATTATGTTTTCCCAGCAGAATGACAGATAACCAAAAAACTGACAAGAGTGCCAAGGTATAATTTTTGATATTTTTTTTATTTTAATTATAATGCACATACATGTGTTTTTATGTACCACTTAGTTTTTAGTCTGTTGAAGTGCATATGAGGAGATACTTATTTTGTTACATGTCAAGTTCTATACAAACTGTCGTGAATTAAAAAAAAAACCTTATGGATCAAACCACAAATGAGTTTTGTGATTATGGGCAGTATTTGTAAATGTGAATACAGCATTAGAAGTGTTTGATAGAGTTATTGCTTTACGTGAGGGACAAATGTATATATTTAGTTTGTACAGAGAAGGTGCTTACTATGTATTGTAATTAGCCACGATTGAGTGAAATTTGGCAAGCTTAAATCAAGTTTTTTCCCTGTACACTTTGTTTTATTCTTAAGTTTATGTCAATTCCAAAGTATGTATTATAGAAAACAATAAAAACATGAGCATATGACGTGTTTCTTTTCATTATTCCAAATAATGTAAATAATAATAAATATGGCCTGATTTGTTATATTTAGTAACAGCACAGAAATTGGCTAACATTGATAAAATCAAAACACACTAGGTGCCATATGTTTTAGATAAAAAGGAACTACTATCAAATATATTACGAGTTCAATTTATGTGTGAGTAAATTCAATTATCATTGTTTAAAGCAAAGTTACATTGGGTATGATGCTCTCATTTAAACAGGAAATTTAACTTTGATTTTGATTTCCTCCCTTTTTATCCTTTGCCAACAAAACATGTATTTTGCATGAACCCTGAGATAGATATTTAGGTATTTTTTTATTTATTTGCTAGATATGAAATAAAATCTTTTGCTACAATTCAATGTTGATCATAGTTCATAGTTGAATCAATCAGCAGGCTCTAAAGGTTTTATATTACTAACCTTTTGTTTATTTTTATTATTTTAAGGGTTATTTTAGTGATTACATTAATTAGCGAAATGTGTTATAGTTGTTCAATCAAATTATTTGGTAACTACAATATTCCATATATTATATAAAATCATACTTAAGATTTAATATTATTATTATTAATGCATTTTAAATATATTTAACTCACATTGTACTTTTAATTGCTTTTAAAAATACACTTTTAGATAGAGTCAAAAAAGTATAATATAATATAATCAGAGTATGCTGTAACATATTAAAAAGCTTGTCCAAGCTCAACGTAGGCCTCAAAACTGTATTTAAACAAAACATGTTAACATACCTTCAAGGCAGACGACTTGCACTCCATCTTGCTTGAGCCTCTTCAGCAAGATGCCGTGGACCGAGTCAGGATTCCGCGGGGCTCCATCCCCGTATAACACGAACGTGCCCCTGGTACGGCAGTGAGCGATTCTCGCTTTCAACTCCTTGCATTGTACTGTCGAGCACAGGTCGATCTTACCCGCAGCGAGCCGCCGCAGCATTATACTTGGTATTGAGAAGTTAACAGCGGACCGTATGTGAGACATAGCATACTCGTTCGACCCTCGACAGTCTATCAAAATAGTGTCTCTCTCGTCGGAGCGCAATTTTGCCAACAACCATTCCTTTGACACCAGGTCGCACTCACATTCCGAGTCCGTGGGCATCTTGCAATCAAAATGTTCTCTTGTTTACACGAGCTTTCTCAAGAGTTCCCGTGTAGCCTGTTGCACTATTGCACAAAAAACATGGAAAATGAAGCAGCTATACACGGTGGCATTTTTCATATGTTTATTGAATTTTATCTATTGTCATATAACTATTTTACACCAAAGAAAGCCATCTAAATAAACACTACACCAATCTAACGTCCACGACAAGCGAGCTATACAAGGCGAGCAACAGCAAAGCCAGAGCCAAGCCAGGGCAGCGCACAGCAATAACGCAACGAACGAATGAATTACATTGCCGTGCCGAATGAACGACTACAATTACGGAGAGAGAGAGATAGATGCACAAATATAGGATGGAAAAAATGGTAGATGGGTTCATAGAGGATGGAATAAGGGTGAGATAATGATAGCCGTCATGATGAGACGGACATTAAATTTGGATAACATACGGGAATTAGAACAGCTTTTTGAAATAAAGAACGAATAAATGAATGGTTACTTGATCACAGTGTTGGTACGTATGTACATACTATGTACAGAACAATGAATGAGTAATTTTAATTTTGTCTTTTAGCAACACCAAATAAAAAAACAATAACAAATATCACACCAGCAATGTTACCAATTTGTGGAGAATCCCCTAATTACGGAGAATTTTAATTCGACGGGATTAGCGTTATGTGGGGAATTTGTGAGGATTCTAACACTTTATCATTTTGATTTAATTTATCGATTGCTGATGCATAGCTAGTTTGACGGTTATTGACAAAAACTATGATGAACGATATCAATATTTTTTTCGACATAGCACATTCCCGTTTTATTTATTTATTTATTCTAATTACAACGGACAAATCCGATCACAGCAATTAACAATAACAAAAACTAATCTTTTAGGCCCTCTCCCAAAGGGGCGAGGCTACAATAAATAATAATATAATATAATAAAAATAATAATAAAAGAAACAAAATAATAATAATAAAACAAAAACATGACATTGAAGGCAATATTTATTCGCCCTCATTCTTCTCGCAAAACATTATACAATTATCGAGTTTTTAGGTTTCCGCAATTGTTACACAATGAAACTATGTTTCCGGATTTAAATAACGTATATTTGTTTTTTCAAACAAACTAATGTTTCGGACCCTTATAGGTCCCATGGTCACGGTTGACTGAGGTGATTAATGCAAACCACCCTATTTTTTCACTGTACAACACAAAAAAACATTCCAATGTACGCTACATTACGGTTTACAAATTATTTTATTGAATGAATTTTTATCAAGTAAAATATATTATTAATTAATAATAGAAATTAGAATAAATTAAAACATATTAATTAGTACTGCAGTCTCATGTCTGTTTTGGATTTTTCATCAGAGGAATTATAGGATGCCACACTAATGCTACGGAGAAACCATCTTCTCTGTTGAAATTAGGATGTTTTTTAATTCAATGGCCTCTCGCAGAATCCTGGTTAGATAACGGACTTCTTTTGCAAGGACTTGGGATTTGTCAAACTTCATTGAATGTACGGGTTTATCTAAGACATGCTCGTAGACTGCAGACTTGTTTACGCGACGGTGTTTGACATCAGCTATATGTTCTTTGACGCAGGTACAAATACTTCGCTTTGTTTGTCCAATATAACAAAGACCGCACTCAAAGTCAAGCTTGTAAACTCCTGCATCTTGTAAGGGGATGTTACATTTCACGGCTCTTAGGAACTGAGAAATCTTCCTCAGGAGCTTGAAATAGGTATTGATAGATGCACGCCAGAGGATTTTTCCGATCTTGTCTGTAACACCTCCACGTAAGGTAAAATGGCAGGTCTTCGCTTGACTGTTGGTGGTTTCACACGGGGTCTGCGGCATTGGCGTGGAATCTTCAACTTATTCGCATGTAGAACTTGCTTTATTTGCTGAAGTTCCCCTGCCAGATGATTACAGTTGCAGACTCCATGTGCTCTCTGAAACAAAGATTAGCCCACGGTGATGTGAATCACCATTGAGGTACCGATAGGAGCCATAGAGATATCTATGGGTTTTCTTTCGAAATACAGTATGGTCAAAGATGTTGTTAGAATTTATTTTAATTAAAACATCTAAGAAAGCAAACTTACCATAATTCTCTTGTTCCGTAGTAAATTGGATCTTAGTACTAAAAGAATTGAAAAGGTCCAAGAAAGAAGGTATGCTATCTTTAGGTATATTGTGAAACTATCATCAACGTACCGTTTGAAAATCTTCGGCCTAGCCGGGGCCATGGGTAAAACTCGCTTCTCGAAGTCTTTCATGAAAATATCGGAAACAACGGGAGATACCGGAGAGTCCTTCGCCATACCGTCGATTTGTAGGTAGAATTCATTATTTCAATCCTTCATATGTGTAGAAGTATTCCTTCTCAATGATGACAGTACCTTTGCCATGTGTTGAGCCAGTTTGTAGATTGATGTGTCAATCTGGCTAACTATGGGACGGAGTGGGGAGTCAGCCTTATGTATTTTTGGTAACCCATACAGTTTTGGAGGTTTTACGCAGCAGGGTACTGTTATATCCTAACTACTAAGTAAAATGTTAATAAAAATAAATGCAAGGGTTGCATCACGTTTTACCACAACGTGATGCAAAGACAGCGACATAATTTTGATATTAAAATTAGTGAGTTGCTGTTTGGACTTCGCGCGTGACACTCATTACATTTGTATTAATTTCGAGTAAAAGTTTATTCTGTGTTAGAAAAGTGTTCTTTTTTTAAAAAGACTCTCCTGACTCACCCCGTAACAGTGGTGTCAGAAGTGGGATAACCAGTGTTGAGTCTTCGTCTTTCGCCCATCATCAGCTCCGCTGGTATCCCATGCGCGAAACGCGAAAAAGTAAAAAGTGAAATTTCGCACGGACTAAACTTTTGTGTTTGAAGTGTCATTGTGCCCAGACTCTTATCCTTACTAAATGAAGTCTAAATCCTGCGTCCAAACCAACTCTGGGGCCGATTTCTTCAAATTCCGTCATCCATTGCTGCCGCTGCCTCGACTAAATCGTTACGAGAAGTTCCTTAACGAGCCAAACGCACATACAACACGCTCCTGACGAATCTCATCCACTTACCGTCGATCACCGAGTCCAGATTCAACACCGCTTCGCCTGACCTGCTATGTCATCGACGTCCTCATCGCGCTACTCGGGATCGTACTGTGAGTCAAATATTTTATTTGAAGTATCGCTATCTTCGAATCTATACACGTATATTGCATCCGTTTGTTGTCGTTCTAAATATTTCGGTCACTATGGCTCAGCCAGAAAAACCTCAACCAACCCTCTCCGAACAGTACCCCATCCAAGTACTATGCAATTTTCTTCTTCTTTTAAATGTTATGGCTCCATCGAAATAATCAATGATTTATTAACCCCTACAAAAGGTGACAGGGAGACTTTGACAGCATTTCTCACAAACTGTCAGAACGCACTAAACTTAGCGTCACATAGTCAAAGACAATTGTTACTAAAATTTATTATTGCGAGATTAGAAGGTAAAGCGCAGATCGCATGCGCTAGCAAAGTTTTTGAAAAATTCGACGATCTCAAAAAGTTTTTAAAATTAAACTTCGGTGAAAGAAAACATTACTATCATTTATTGCTGGACTTACAGTCCTATAAACAACAGTTAAACGAAAACGTAGCTCAATTTGCCTTGAGAATTGAGACATGCCTCAGGGACCTTCAAGCTGAAATATACAACTCTGATTCCCTTAAAAAGGAACTACCTGGTCGAATTGCTATGACTGAGGACCTTGCTCTCTACACTTTCAACATAGGGCTTCATCCGAGATTAAGTAACATGGTTCGGTGTGGAGACCCGACTACACTGAACGAGGCATTGAGGCGAACATTGCCACGGAAGAGGAAAAACTAGAAAATCTTCTACACAAAACTACCGTAAAATTTAAATTTTGCAGAACATGTAGAAAGCAAGGTCATTCCGATAACGAATGTTCAACTATTCCGAAACCTTCTTTTCCTAGACTTTCTAATCCACATTCATTTCAGCCGAAATTATTCCAGGGAATTCTAATCAATCTTCGAGTTCGGGACTCACATGTAGATATTGCAAAAAACCCGGACACGATATTTCACAATGTCGTAAACGAGCATATAATAATTCCAAACATAACAATTCCCACAACTCAAACAACAATCAACAACATCATATTTCAATTCCACCGCCGCCTTTGTCGCATTCAGAATGCAACGATGTCGAAACACAATCCACCTGCGATTGCGATGTTTGTTCAACGGAACAAGACCGTAATTTAAACTAAATACTCAGGTATCACAACCGTGCCGGTGTATACCTGTGAAAAATTATGGCACCAAGAATACTAAATCTTCTAAACCAAATTCTCAACTCTCCCATCCGGGAGCCACTGACTCGTTGAGTACTAAATCGTCTAAATCAAATTCTCAACTCTCCCAACCGGGAGCCACTGATTCGTTGAATACTAAATCTTCTAAATCAAACTCTCAACCCTCCCGTCTGGGAGCCTCTGCCTCGTTGAGCATCGAATATCTTAAATCTAAACCTCCTAACTCTAAAAAATGCATCTCTTCGGAGTCCTATGTCGTACCAGATCGCGAAACACCTATTCATAAAATCAATTCCTTATCAAATATGCTACCACAAATATTTTTTAAAAACTGAGTATTCAGAAACTCCTATTTGTTTCCTGATCGACACGGGTGCCAGTGTCAGTATAGCAAAACTTACCAATTTCACAACAAAGCCGAAACTATCGACCGAAAAAATCAAAATCAGGGGTCTAAGTAACAATGACTCCCATTACGAGACCCTAGGGTCATTCCAAATCCATTTCGAGAGCGATACCTGTAGTTCAAAATGTAAGAAAATAACATTTAACTTCAAATTTCATGCCATAGATAACAACGTTAAGTTAGATTACGATGGAATACTCGGTAACGATTTCTTAACCTCTCTTGATGCTGATATACAATATTCAAATAATTGTCTCAAGCTCCACAGTTGTTGCCTACCTATATATTTTTCCGAACCCTCATACATAATTCCAGCTAGATAGAAGCCGTAATAGAATGTTGTATTTCAAATCAACCCTCAGAATTTGCGAATCTCAGAGAAGGCCTCGTTCTTGACCACATCATAACAGAGGGTGTATACGTTTCAAATTGCATCGTATCCCTTAAGCCCAACAATCGAGTAAACGTATCTATTCTCAAT